AGCGGCCTGACAGGGGGCGTCGCCTCCTCTTCCTGCCCTAGGCGCCTACCTGTAGTTGACCCTCCCAGGTAGTTTGCCTGCAGTTGTCCCTGAATACAGACTTCCTAGCTGTATTCCTCAGCTGCCAGTTGTCCCTTGCTCACGCCAACCCAAACTGCAGGCGGGAACGCGAGCCCCGCGGAAACGTCCTGACGCGTGAGCCATTTTCCAGACGCCTGCCTGGCAGCGTGGGCTTTCACACGGCAGGCAGTACCGCTTTCCCGGCAACAGGAGCTTCATAGGTGTCTGCGCAGAAGGGAGGCCTCCACTTTTGTTTTTCCCACCATAAACAGCAGCTCTGTTTAAAGGAAGACGCCGAGTCCTTGCGCAGGAGACGTTTTGTCACGCACGCGGAGCGGGTGGAGGGAACGTACAAGCCGAAGCTCCCTGGTTACTATCTACCTGTGCGGCCACAGAGGCTTTATAAACTAGAGTTTGACACATAAACTTGACGTAAAACTCACCTCCGAGAAAACCCGAGCAGAGCTAGCCTAGCCAGGGAGGCCTCCTTTATCGTACGCTACAGCTTCTGCGCCCTCGGTCCGTTTTATTTGGAAAATAGAGCCCCTGGTCACGGAGGTGCCTGCTGTGAGCCAGGAGAACACCTTACTTAGGACCGAGGTAACAGCAATCGGGGCTCCACTGTCACAGAAAGGCACGACAAAGAGCCAGTGCTTCATCCAGGAGAGGGCAGTGCATGTACCGATACACAGCACATCACAGGATGGAAAATGACAACTCCTGTTTTCATTGCAAGATGTTTTATAGTTGCCAAAAAGGAAAAAAGGCTCTGTAAATAAAACTGCCTTCATTAAATATTAGTAACTCTTTACATCTTGGGTTAACCAGGTTGTCTGTTTTTATCTGCTATTAAAAATAAAACAAATTACTTAGAACTTTCACCTTTGTTAAGGACTGGAAATTTCTTTAAAGATAAACATGACAGTAACAAATCTTTCAATCACTTTTAAGCTTCTCTGTAACATCTGAGGAACAGATGCGGTGAAAGTTGGAGAGATGAAGTATATACTTGACTGAGCATATTCAATACATATGTTTCCATATAATATGTGCAGATTAATCACTACATAGGGATTGTGCTCTGACAAAGTAACAAATGTGTACTTGGAAGTGCGACAGACTCCTAAATTAGTTAATGTGGTGGCATTGTTTAAACAAAAGACAACAACGTTAAAGCAGAGTTAAGTGGTGCAAATATATATTGTTAACTTACGGGTCTTCATAATGTTTAAATTACGCACAGTCAAACATTACAAGTCTGGAAAATTCAACTATATTAAAAATGTCATTTAATGGTGAGGTTTTTATGATACAGACTAAAAAGTATTTTTAATAGAGAGTTTCTCCTCTCTCTGCTCTTCTCCCAGCATCGTTAGAGTCAAGTTTTGGGGGGTGCTCTGTGACAGCAGCCAAGTGTAGCGGTGAATCTGGCTTCTAACCTGAAGCAGCGGGCCAAATAACATCCTGAATTGCCCTTACTTTGCCCCAGCTAGTAGAACTGCTGTAAAAGTATCAGTTGTTCAGGGAGTGTGCTGGCTGATTCCTTCTGATGTCCTGAAGAGCCTACTTCAGAGTTCCTTGAACCACACTTGCTTATGTAATTGCTCCAGTTAGATAAAAGTTGTTAGCAGTCTTTTTGAATTGTGGGTATAGAGTTTGCACAAGATTCTGATGAATCTACAGCGCAAAGAGAATTAAATGAATATGTGATAACGTCAAGTTGCTATAATCTGGAAGAAATTAAGAACAGCCATATGTGCCAAAGGCTTAATCCCTGCTTTCCTAATTGCAGCATGTAACTCCCCTTAATCATAGAGTTCGTAATGTTACAGTAATGCAAATGGTCTCTGCTTCACTGCACTAGGTATTGTTCAAGCATAGGGAGAGGCTTGCCTAAAAACTCTTACAATCTCAGTAAACCGTGAACTAGGAGAGGGAGTGCAGAAGAACAGCTGCAGCCTGTTTGGACAGAGGGTGTTTGGCATACACCCTAGATAAATGCAGCTTACACATCTGGTGTGTACTACCTGTGATAGTAGTTCACGTGCACATAACTTTACCTTTCAAATCTGTTTCTGCACCTGCTGTCATAATTATGTCATTAGGTTTTGAAAGTTATTAACTGTCCTTGTAGAAGATGTACAGGGGAGAATCCTGTTTAAAACCTGCCTTTTTCTCCATTAGTGTGGCTTTTGTTTATGGTCTGTTTTACAGTGACTTCTTGAAGGCTTCAGTATGCTAGAAGTTGTCTGGTCAAGCACCTGGAGAGACAGAAAGAAGCAACTTTTTTGTTATTCAAATTTAAGTCCTTTTTTTAATTTGGTTCTGAAGCAAACTATATTACACTGGATTCTCACTGTAAGACTACATCTTCTGACTGACTCTCCTTTCAGTACTGATGTATGTTCTTAAAAGTAGTAGAAAAAGAAGACATTGTGGCTAAAAAGAAAATTGGCATTTTAAGAGATTTGGGAATTTTTCATGGTCCTGAAACAGGATGAAATACAACTTATATTACAGAAAAGGCATTGGGATTGAGTATTCTTTAACTTTAAAAGAAAATAAAAGTAATTTTATTAAGAGGGCAGCTCATTAAAAGCAACAACGAAAACATATTCTTATATTGATGAATCCCCATTTTTTTTTCAAGAACACATATAAAAGCAGTGATTTCCATCCTGGTAAAGTGCCAACTTACAATCCTCTTATCTTGATAGCACGTGTTAGGCAATTCAGCATTTTCTTATGCATTCATAACGTAGTTGGGCAATCCAGAGGTGTGTTGGGTTCTACTGGGAACTTTTGCCATGTATTCTAAGACTTTTTCGTAGCTCAGATTCTATTTCAATCTACAGTGGTATGGCTCCACCTTGTCTTCCCCAAATCAGTACCTCTGCTGAAGACTGCAAAGTTCAAAAATATGCATGAACCGTCCTTCAAAAATATATGATTGAAATACTTCATTTTGCAGTACAAAAAAGTCTGAATTATGGTTTGGGCTATTGTACAATTTTTGTTTCTTGTACTTCCTGTGACTAATAGAGTGCTGTTGCATTTGTGTTGCAAATTGTTTATGAGTAATACGCTTTTGGACCTTAACACAGAAAGTCTCAAGAGAGGATCCAAAGAAGACTGAGGTTTGTTGTACAATGCAGTACACAGACACATAGTAAGAAATATTCCCTATTCCAAAGCCTTTGTCGTATAGTGCAAAATACAAAATGCTGAGCTGGGTGGCAGGCAAAGTATTGCTCTACAGGTGAAAGGTTCATTAGCTCCCGAGAAAATCCTGTGGTATCCAGTTTCTGAATATGATGCTTCCTTTCTTGAAGTCTATGCTTATTAAGTCATATTTGACCTTTCGTGGTACTTAGACAAGCAGTGCCTTTTACTCACTGGGCACAAGAGCAAAATCTGCCACAGACTGCTCTTTGTCTCAAGCATACTGTACAATAAAGTGGCAAAAAGTGTTCTTAAAGTAGCAACCCACATTGGCGAAAAATTAAACACTACAAAGCTTAATGGTAAAACAAGTGATGGGCCGCATATAAATTCACTTTCAACAAGAATATTGTGTACTGCTAAGAATTGCAACAATTACTGTAAGATTCCTACAGCAACCTGTATTATGTGAAATAAGACCACCCCCCTTAGGATCAGTGGAGTTTATTCTGAATTCAGTATTCAGTTTTGCCCTAAAAATCTCTTTCACTGAAGCTGTACACGTTACTTGGGAGTGGTAGGAATGGGAGAAAGAAAGAGCCTACTGCTGTTCTCCATGTGGACCGTCTATCATAGCACATAACCTATGGTTCTTTGGTTATGCAAGTATTTGTGAGATAGAAGGTGGATATTTTCAGGACTCCTAATTCCTATTCCATGTTCCCATTGTAGAGAATGGACTGGCAGTTTCAGACAGAATAACCAAGCATCAGCTCCTCTTGGGACATCTGGAGAAACTGAATCTGGCAAACATGAACTGTAAAGGTATAGCACCTGCACGTTCTTGCAAGAGAACAGAGAATCAGAGGTGGAAGCGTCAGC